AGCAAATCATAAATTAACAAAAAAGTGCTTCACATATTTGGTTCTCTCTACAAGTCCTGCACATCCCATCATGCCGTTTCTTTTTTTTTTTACCTTAAACAAAACAAACACATGGACCTTTCACAAACTGGCCTTTTCAGACGTGTAGCACTGTTCTCTGTCTCCAGAGTACAGTGCCATTGTATAACACCTCACAGTTAAACAATGTAAGGATGCATTGCCCAGGATTAACAATGTGCAAATAACAGCTACCGTAGTGCAATGCCCATTCAGCTGCTGCCTGATGTGCTTAACACTCAGTCAGAGGCTAACTCACCAGTGAAAAACAAACAACAAATATCTAACTAATATATTTTCAGACCCAGGATCATCCTCCAGGTGTGATGACTGATTGTATTTTCTCTCCCCAGGTGTACTTGGCTCGTACTGAAGGCTCCTCTTCGGGAAAAGTCAGCTGGAAGTTTGACTTTTCCTCGGCGGGGATGAAGGTTTCGTCTGTCTCCGTCTCAGCTAAGAGTGAGACCTTCCACTCGGGGAGCGTCTGCTGGACCCTGCAGGCCGGAGAGAGAACTGCAGCGTTCACTGGAGGTACGCTCACATATTCATCATCAAATACATGTAATTGCTTAAGATAAGATAAGATGGACCTTTTTTTTTCTTGGGGAAATTCAGGCGTTTATAGCAGAAACAGGGTCAGAATGAAAAACAGGATTCACACGAGGTCAAAATAAATAGAATACAAATTGAAATAATAATACAACAAAGAAAAATGATAAAGTAATAACGTAACTATTGAAACAAGATATCACGTTTGACATAGTTAGAGCCAGTGTTGTACTCAAGTCACCAAATCTCGAGTCCCCACCCTTCGTGTCCGAGTCGAGTCACGAAAATCAGCGCTTTAGTCCGACTCCAGTACTCGAGTACTCCAAATGTTGTTATGGGGCATTTCCACTACACGGCCTCGCTCGGCTTCGCTCGGTATGGTTAGGCCTCGTTAGGACAGGCTCACTTTATGCTGCGTTTCCATTACAGTTTAGGAACTGGGGCAGTATCTATAGTAACGCAGTGTAGGCGGAGCCGTGACCTCATCTTCAATGAGAGCCCCTGAAAACCAACATCAGCCGTTAGCCGTTAGCCCTCAGAGCTCACAGCTCCTCATATCTGTTCAGAAACTAGACAGAAGTTAAACAAGTACAAACCACATACTGTCTGTGTCATGGCGAATACAGTCGCTGGTTTATTTATGTCTGTAGGCTGTTGTTGTGAGTGTGGACGGTCGGAGCATTTACAACGTTAGCTTAGCCGATCTCCATTCAGAAAACACGCATTTTAAAAGGTGTTTCGCCTGCCGTCTGTCTGCAGACTTGTCAAAGCCTTAATTCATGGTTTTTACTATCCGGTATCAGTATGTTGTTACTTCGGCATCATTTTGAAACGTGTATTACAATTAAATCACGGTCAAATATGTTCATCTTGTTGTAGTTGTAGCCCCCTTGACAGCGATTCTCTCTCTAGTTTAGCATACTCAGCCCGACTCAGCCTGGTTGTTCCTGGCCCTAGAACCAGGATTTTATGGGGCCAGAAAAACTGTGAATTAGGACCCGCTAGCCGGTAGCCTACTAGGCCAAGTGGAAACGCAACCAAAAAACGGGCCCCGCACGGCTCGGCACGCTTAAAGCGAGCTCCGCGCTGCAGTGGAAACGCGCCATTAGAGCCACTGAAGCACCTATTTACCTTTAAGAAAAATTGTGAATGCTGTAGGTTTTGTATACGTTTATATTATCGGTCTATGCTTGGGTTATGTCTCTGTTATTATTTGAAAGGTGCATTCCAGTAGTCGATCTGGCTGGAGACGAAGGCAGCTTCTCAGCGTCTTTCTGTGTTACTACTGGTCTCACTTTAGCGATGTTTCTCAGGTGGAACAAAGATGTTTTTGTCCCATGTGAGAGCTGAAGCTTAGATCTGACCTACAGACGTGACTCCTCCTGATTATGTCCTCTCCTTTGTGTTTCCTTTCCTTCAGATGGGAAGATGCAGGACCTCCCGAGTGTCTCCGGCTGCTCAGAGTTCATCATTGAAGCCGGACTGAGCGGAGGAGAGGGGGAAACAACATGGCAGCACTCTCAGATCTTCAGGCAAAGCTTAAAGGAGACGGAGGAGCCTTCGTTTGAGATCCTCGTACACTTAGAAGATGCTTAACAGTTGTTTTTATGGATGGTATCTAAATGTGTGGGATGAGGGGTTTGTATGATGACAAAACAGTGCAATATGTACACGTGTGAGTTCTCCAGGATGAGTATATATGAATGGATGATTGGTAGATGAATGAGAACATCGCAGAGTAAAAACACTTTGACCAAATAAAGTCCAGAAACACTGCATGTAAAGCGTTTTAAACATGTTAGATTTGCCTTCACTGTAAAAGTCATTTGAGACAGAGAGGAGTCATCGTCCACTTAGATGATAATTCAATATTGTGTATGCTTATTGTTGGAATAATGGATCTGTATGATGACAAAACAGTGCAATATTTACATGTGTGTGAGTCCTCCACAATGAGTATATATGAATGGATGATGATTGACAAGATGTTGTACCCATCGCAGAGTTAACACACACCATTTGACCAAATAACCTGTAAAACATGCAGTCTAGAAACACTACATGTAAAGGGTTTTAAACATGTTAGATTAGCCTTCACTATAAAAGTCATTTGTGATGCACGGAGTCAGAGGAGGTCTCATTTGATATCCTCGTACACTTAGGAGATATTTAACAGTTGTTTTGCTTCTTGTTGGGATAATAGATCTGTAGGGTGAGAAATTGGTGCAATATTTAAATGTCTGTAAGATGAGATGAGATGAGAATATATGAATGGATGATTGACAGGATTTTGTACCTTTCACAGAGTGAAGTCATACATTAAACATTGATTTGACTAAAAGCAGAATAACCGATGACATATGTGGTCCAAAAACCCTGCATGTAAAGAGATTTAAACATAAAAAAGGCCATTGTTTTTGTTAAATTGGCCTCCGTTTGTGATGCATGGAGACAGAGGAGTCTTAAATTGATATGCTCGTCCACTTAGAAGATACTAAAGAATTTTTTTACTAATGTTAAACCTTATTGGGGGCTTAATTCTGATTTAATTGCTGGGATGATCGATTTGTATAAAGACAATTTAGTGAAATATTTAAAAGCGTGTCATCTTCCAGGGTGATTAAAGTGAATTACATATTGAAGGGTAGGCTAAAGTCACATATTTTAAACTTTGATTTTACTAGAGTTACCTATGAGACACGCAGTTAAAAATACACAACATTTTGACATTATAAGCCATAGTCACATCGTCATCGGTTTTGCATGGAGACATTCCCTAGACGCCAGATTTCCAGCTATTAATAAACTAATTATTGGTCTCATTTATGGCATTTGTACACCTTGCCATGCATACTTAAATCCATGTGTACTAATATAAACTGAGTGTTGTTGTTGTGGAGGAAAGGGATGAATGTTGGGGGAATATATGATGGGATAATAAAGATATTTTTAAAGTATTGTAGCTCTTTCAATGTATTTTTACAGCATGGATATACAAAGAGGTGGGAGAAGTACTCAGATGTTCTACTTGAGTAAAAGTAGAAGTACACAGATCTGGTACTTGAGTAAAAGTAGAAGTACTCAGATCTTGTACTTGAGTACAAGTAGAAGTACTCAGATCTTGTAGTAAAAGTAGAAGTACTCAGATCTCGTACTTGAGTAAAAGTTGTAGTTTTTTTTCACCCCTTTATTTATTCAAGTACATATACATGGACATCATATATTTTGTAAACAAAAATATATCACATATGAACTAATACAAAAGTACATTAAATGAATAAAAGACAGAATGTACACTCTAATATTTACGTGACACATTAGTGTCTTTCAATGATGAAGCGTTTGGCGCCATCTAGCGTTAAAGATGGCGACAACAGTGACTCACCGTTGTCTTTTCCTATTGGTCAAAATAACAGTTACTCACTGTTGTGGTTTCTTATTGGTCGAAATACCGGCGCTTTTGAAAAAACAGCCTCCTGATTGGTCGATGTGAGACGATCCGCCGTCTATCCTTCAGATGGCCGGATAGCTTCTGCTAGCTTTTATTCTCATCTTTTTTTTACTTCTAAATGAAATGTATTTAAGTCTCGCCTTTTGACAGCGTTTCTGTTAAACTAGTATTTTATTCTGTTGATTTCCCACATGTTATTGTGAGTGTATTGTGTTTGTTTTGTACAGTATTTATTTGGTAGCAGCTAGCCCCGTTAGCATCTTTGTTGTGAGTTTAGGCCTCGCTGTTTCACCGGCTGTCGATTTTAACAATAGCCGGAAAATACCCCCCTCTCCTCGGCTTGTTTTCATCACATTTCAAGGGATTATCTCTCAAACAAACATGGAGGATAAACAGGTCTGGATGCCTTTCATCAACTGAGACGGTTTGTTATGCTGGAGGATATTTAATTTCACCTGGAATTGAAGATATTTTTTGAGAAGAGGATCATATTTTAGGATCACAAAGAAAAGATGTCTAACGGCGCAGGATGGCTGGTAAGTTAGTTTGTTTCACTACTAAAACATGCACCAATTTACAGTTTAAATAATCTAAATAGTGCTTTTTATTATGCTTTATTTAGATTATAAAAAGACCGACTAATTTACAGTTTAAATGATCTATATTGTGCCGTTTTTTATGCATAATTTAGATTATAAAAAATGCATTAACCTTCAGCTTAAATTGTGCTTTTTATTATGCTTGATTTAGACTATAATCTATGCATTTACTTCCAGTTTTATTCTTCTAAATTGTGCTATTGTAAGGCTTTATTAACCTTAGCAAAGTGCAGCGGCTTTAAGTGGCATTTAAATCCCCTTATAGTCAGTCGTACTCGTATATTGTTATAATTACTGGCTTTTGGACTAATTTCATAAAAATATAAACCATATTATTGTATTATAATTCATGCAGTAATGTGTTCTTTACTTTAATATTGCAGCTGTTTAAAAGGGGGCACTAAGTTAGTCTGTACCACAACTAAAACACGCATTTACTTACAGTTGTATTCATCTTAACTGTGCATTAATAACGCATACAACGGCTGTGTTAACCTTAGCGAAGTGCACCAGCTTTAAGTGGTATTTAAATGTCCTTTAAAGACCACCAGCTGGGGTTTAAAGGCCACGGTTTTTCTCTAAAATAACAACAAAGATGAAGAAGCCATAACTTCCTGTTTCTCGAGTCTACAGTTAACTTCCTCAAAACAAGAGACAGAGCAAAACGAAACTAAGAATTTAACTTAAAGATATCCTTTTTCCTTCATAACGTAAATACACAATCCAACTTAACTCACTACAGCTACTAAGTGCATTGTTTATTGCTGCATAAATACAACAATTGGACTATTATAACGTGTTTTACTCATTCAATATGTTTTGCAGTGTTGCACGAAGCACTCAGACCCTTTCCTTGAGTATAAGTACTAATACAACATTTAGTAAAACAGTTTTAAAGTTATTTTTAATGACCCAGAAGCAGACAACAACATACATGTTCTCTGGCATTGTTTTTAATTTGTGTTAAACAAGAAATAGTGCAGAAATAATCTTTACTCTGCAACAAATGTCCTGGTTTAAGCTTTAAAAAAAGTTTAAACATCAGATTGAACCTAAAGTACTCATTCTGCAAAACAGCCCATTTCTTTATGATATAAACCATATTATTTTAATCCCACAGCTGGTAAAGTATAAGCGTATTTCTTATATATCTATACATGCTGCTGAGACGTTGTTATTTTTAAGCTATGGATCAATATAGTAGATTCTTACCTGTATTAACACTCGATAAGTAGATTATACGTTGTGTTATTGATATAAATCTGAAGATTTAGAGAGTAACCAAAGTAATTACATTTTGTATTTGAGTACATTTAGATCCTAGCAGGAAATGGAAGAACTGTACTAAAGCACTACAAGTAACCCTAACCCTAAACCCTATTAATAGTTATTTGATTTAATCAACAGATCTGTTTTACTGACACTCTCCAGACAGAATAATGCAAAAAGAATATTGCTTTAAGTCTTGTGTTTAAAATAAATGTAATCATACGTTCCTTCACAATTACACATTCAGCATTAAAAACCTATATAAAACTGCTTCTAATCTATAAGAACAAAACCACTAATTAGTCGACCAATGGGAGCTGCTCTGGATCATTCATATAATATCCTTTAAATACAACCAAAACCACACTTTGTTAGACGTTTTATATTTAACTTTACCTGATATTACTTTATTTTGGAGCACAGAGACGAAAGATAATGTCAGTTTAAATTAAACATGAGTTTCCCAATCACTGTATAACGACCAGTAGTTTTGTTTTTGTTGATTATGTGTCACTGAAACCACAGACGCTGATATCTGCTGCTGGTTTTCACTTAGTTATGTGTGAATAATAACAGATGGCAAAAGTACGGAGATCCTTTACTCAAGTAGAAGTACAGATACTCGTGTTTCAAAATACTCTGGTGAAAGTAGAAGTACTGACTAAACTTCTTTACTCAAGTCAAAGTAAAGAGGCTTTGAAATGTACTTCAGTAAAAAGTACCCATAACTAGCAGCTATTTTAAAGAGTACCTGACCTCCCTTTATATTAATAGAACAATAATGTCATTGTTAGCTAATGAATGTTTCCATGCTGAACAACGGCAACATGACAGCGTTTTCATTGGTCCCTCTTCTTTAGAGAAGACCAGGAAATGATGGATACACGGATCGTGTTCAAATCAATAGGCACGCAATGACTCTAAATAATAATGATCACGCCACCAAACACACATTCAGACTAAAGGAACCAGCCTGTTTGGAAAATGAGAGAAGTAGAAAGTACAGGTATTTGTGTTCAACATGTAAGAAGTAGAAAGTACAGGTATTTGTGTTCAACATGTAAGAAGTAGAAAGTACAGGTATTTGTGTTCAACATGTAAGAAGTAGAAAGTACAGGTATTTGTGTTCAACATGTAAGAAGTAGAAAGTACAGGTATTTGTGTTCAACATGTAAGAAGTAGAAAGTACAGGTATTTGTGTTCAACATGTAAGAAGTAGAAAGTACTGTTCAACATGTAAGAAGTAGAAAGTACAGGTATTTGTGTTCAACATGTAAGAAGTAGAAAGTACAGGTATTTGTGTTCAAAATGTAAGAAGTAGAAAGTACAGGTATTTGTGTTCAAAATGTAAGAAGCAGAAAGTACAGGTATTTGGGTTCAAAATGTAAGAAGCAGAAAGTACAGGTATTTGTGTTCAACATGTAAGAAGTAGAAAGTACAGGTATTTGTGTTCAACATGTAAGAAGTAGAAAGTACAGGTATTTGTGTTCAACATGTAAGAAGTAGAAAGTACAGGTATTTGTGTTCAACATGTAAGAAGTAGAAAGTACAGGTATTTGTGTTCAACATGTAAGAAGTAGAAAGTACAGGTATTTGTGTTCAACATGTAAGAAGTAGAAAGTACAGGTATTTGTGTTCAACATGTAAGAAGTAGAAAGTACAGGTATTTGAGTTCAAAGTGTAAGAAGTCAAAGTAAAAAGTCGTTGAATGAAGTACCGATGCCAGAAAATGTACTTCACGAAATATTTGTACTCCACTGCTTTCCTCCTCTGAATAATAACAATATCTCGGTCTACAGGAGTCTGCGAATGGAAAAGGGGATTCTGCAAAGATGGACGCTCCCAAGAAGTCGAGCTCCAAGCTTTCTGTGGAGCGAGTTTATCAGAAGAAGACGCAGCTGGAGCACATCCTCCTCCGCCCGGACACCTACGTGGGCACCGTGGAGCCCATCACCCAGGTGAGACCTCCACTAGCTCACCTGGGAGAGACTGATGACAAGCCTGCGTTAATTAGCATTATATGTGGACAGGATCCAAAAGGACTGTTTTTAGGGGGTTGGTCTGTTGGCCGCTCATAGAGACCTGTTGTGAACCTGGAAATGTTGAATACCCCAAAGTTTAACGATAGAAATGTTAGCAGACCGGTTTAAACTGAAGTAGGCTATTTTATACTATTCATCCTGTATGAATACAATTTAACCGGCCACAGAAATACGAATACAAGGGGAAAGAAAGTCAACAAAAGGGAAAGGTGATGTACTCACCTCTGATTCTTCTGCAGAGGATTATTCATCGTCTTTGTTGTATGTGTTGAATGTTTTTTTGTCTACTTCATTCAGTAAATAGCTGGCTGTTCGATCTGGTCTCTGGTCTAATGACTTTACTGTCTATCCACTCCAGCAGAATCTAGATTTCTTCTGATCCAATAGCTTAACCCAAGATAAGAAGTGCTACAAATTGTCCCCAGAATGTAGAAACTGCCGGATACTAACCTGTATATGTTGGGCAATTTGCACAATTACCATAAGTTAAATTAATTAGCATTATAGCCTCTGTGGACTGGATCCAAAATGACTGTTTTTACAAGAAAGTGGGGATATTTGTACTTCATTTTGAGTATGTTTTAAATGACTCTGGATCATTTGGATTGGACATATTGCTTATTTATATGAGCATAAATTGTCCACAGTAGAATCAATCCTTTTGTATCTTGTGCTCACGTCACAACACTGCTCACGGTCGCCAAAATTAGCCAATTGACAGCACAGATATGGCCACTTTCTGTTAAAAACTGCTATTATTGATCTTAAAACATTTCAGAAATGGACCCAGCCTCCTCTCCAAACCCCTCCAAGTATCAGATGTTGATTACTCAGTATTGACAATGGCAGTCATACCGTGTCATACACACTAGTATGATGTCTGTTAAACCTGTATCATGTTGTAGTAATACTCCTATATCAAGTTATATTCTGTATCCTCCAGTGTAGTTTTAATACGTTACCTTTCGATGAAATATGACGGAAACTAATTAACTTTTTCTGGAAGATTTTAGCGGATACATTGAAAATGCAACTTCACAATATATTTGTATTGCATGTTAAGCACTTTGAGTGATTATCAATGCATGTCTGGTTTCTTTAAGGAACATTTGCATTTGTCTTTCTTAGAAAATGTCAAATGAAATTATAACCAATTTATTACTGATAGAACTTGTTAGTAATCTTACACTCGTGATTTTTTTTAACTATTGTTTGTTTGATTTAATCAGCAGACACTCTCCACACAGAGTAATGCTGTTCCGATCAAGCCACCCTACTTCCTGATGTGATGAATCTTCTCTTTCTTTCCTTTCTCCAGCAAATGTGGGTTTTTGATGAAGAAATAGGAATGAACCAGAGAGAGATCACCTTCGTCCCGGGGCTGTACAAAATCTTTGATGAAATCCTGGGTGAGTGGATCCTCTTCCTCCTCCTCCTCATCCTCCTCATCCTCATCCTCTTCCTCTTCTCCGCTGGCTAACATTAAGCTGCTGAGATATTGAAGGCTTATTAATATGTCGGAGATAATGTCATCACACTGATTCAGCTGTGTGTGGAGATTAGCTTCTCTCTACGAACGTTTATGAATAAATTAAACGTTGACGGAGAAGTGATTTCAGTGTCAAAGCTGCAGTCTGATTTATTTATCGATGAAGTGAAAGCGTGAACAGTCTCAGATAAAGACCGGTGGATAGAGCACTTTATTCTGAAGGTACGATGTGGGAGTAAAGAGCAGATTTAAACATATATTTTAGCCTGTGTGTTTATAAAGGTGTTTACATAATGACATTTGTATTGTTTGTATATTATTGCTGCTCTGTCCTGTGTCTTTGCACAGGAGTATCCCTCTTAGCTTAAATACACTTTTCCATATGTGTAAAATACGTTTTTTAAACTGTATCATTGAAGTGAGTCTTAGTTTTTGTACTTATTTATTGGTTTATGTGTAATTCAGAATTTTTCTCAAAATTCAGACTTTTTCTTAAAATCCTGACTTTTTCTCAAAATCCTGACTTTTTCTCAAAATCCTGAATTTTTCTCAAAATTCAGAATTTTTCTTAAAATCCTGACTTTTTCTCAAAATCTCAAAATTCTGACTTTTTCTCAAAATCTCAAAATTCTGACTTTATCTCAAAATCTTAAAATTCTGACTTTTTCTCAAAATCTTAAATTCTGACTTTTTCTCAAAATTCTGACTTTTTCCTCAAAATCTCAAAATTCTGACTTTTTCCTCAAAATCTCAAAATTCTGACCTTTTCGCAAAATTCTGACTTTTTCTCCTGTAGTGTGTTATATACAGGTTTTAGTGCATGTAAATGGTCTGCAAAGGCTAAAATCCCTGCATAATCTGAAATCACCTCCATGATCTGTGGTTAATTTGTATTTATTGTTTTTGTTGACAGTCAACGCAGCAGACAACAAACAGAGAGACAAGAACATGACAAGCATTAAGATCACCATTGACGCGTGAGTATATATATTATAGTTACCATAAAGAGAGTATTTTGTGCTGTGAATATACTGTATATCCCACACATTTAGATTCAAATGTATTTATTCCTTGCCCTATTACCTGCTTTTTTAGAAGTCTTCATCTAACTATTGGAAGTTAAAGTAAGAATTTCCTATAAAGAGTTTAAATATAATCAACAACATGTTTACAATCAAAATAAATGGAACTAACAACGTGGAATAAAAGAATAAAAACGACTTTAATGTCAAGTACAATTACCGATACAAGATAACACAAAAAATAAATATGAACATAAAAAAATATATTAAGTGTGCAATTAAAACATTAAAGGGGACCTATCATGCAAAATACACTTTATTTTCTACATAAAGATGTGTCCCCGGTGTGTCGGGGAACTCACGCAGCGTCAGAAAATAAAACCCTCTCTCTTTTCCTCCGTACCCAACTCGTAAAAGTTCTATAGTGCAGTATAGCTGCGTAGACCTAGTCGGAAGGCAAACGAAGGGGGGTA